TGATAGAGAAAGAACCCACGGCCACTCCCATGTCCTCCCTTGCGCTTTTTAAAAACATTATTATTATACATGTACAAAGCCACTGACTAAGACAACCACCTGTCTAAGACAACCACCTAAGATCGAAGACAACCACCTAAGATTAAAGACAACCACCTAAGACAATTACCTGTCTAAGACAACTATCTGTCTAAGACAACTATCTGTCTAAGACAACTAAATGTCCACACGGCCACTCCCATTCTCATGTCCTCCCTTGCGCTTTTGTAAAAGATATACAATGCCACTTACTAAGACAACCACCTGTCTAAGACAACCACCTGTCTAAGACAACCACCTGTCTAAGTAAACACCTGTCTAAGACAACCATCTGTCTAAGATCGAAGACAACGACCTGTCTAAGCAAACACCTGTCTAAGACAACCACCTGTCTAAGAAAACACCTGTCTAAGACAACCACCTGTCTAAGAAAACACCTGTCTAAGACAACCACCTGTCTAAGACAACAACGTTCCTCCTGAACAATGGGAAGCCGTCTTCTTAGACAGAGTCAGCTGTATCAATTAAAATTTGTGTGTCTGCTAGTTTGGGGGAGTTGAAAAAAGGAAAAGGGGGTAGGAGTGAGTAGGTAGGAGATACGAGACAAAGAGGGATTTATGACGGCAATAATTATGTTTAGAAGGAAGACAGAGGGAGTGTTGTTAGTTTTAGTAGAGGTTTTAAGGCCCTCGCAACTGCATAAGGTCATACATGTATTATGAGCGCCAGAAGATTAGAGCTGTCACAAGAGAGTAACAAGCATAAAAACGAAGAGGTGGAGATAAGTTTAAGTACGAGTTTCACGGTACTCGCAACACAAAAAGGTCATAATATAAGTGCCGAAGAACAGAGTATGTGTTACAAGAGAGAAACATAAACAAGAAAGAAGAAGGGGAGATAAGGACGATATAATTATGTTTGATAGGAAAGAAGAAGCCAACCACACCAGAGCACCCGCCAACCACCCACAGAGGGAGTGTGAGTGATCCTGGACGTGTGTGAAGAGACACGATGACAAATAACTGTTGCGGGAGGTCGAAGGATTGAGAGAGGAAAGAGGGGGAGGAGGAGGGGAGTGTAAAGTGAGTGAGGGGGTGAAAGAGGAAATAAATAATTCTAGTCGATGCGTAATGAAGGATGGTCTCCAAAACTCTATCACAATCACCGCCGATATTATATCGGAAACGATGATTTGTGTAATTATGATGAGAGTGTCTCTCATTGCTCATAGACGCTTTTCGCGTGCTGTTTATAACATAAATGTAAAATTGCTTTGAATTTGAGTTATAATAATATTGTGAAGCGGTGCTTAATATGACAAACGATGTACATGTAAAAGTGAATAATATAATAATATAGTACATGTATAATACATTGTAAAACTCAAAGGATGGGTGACGTGATATATTTGTAGTATATGCCCGAGTTTCTTGATTTCTTGGGTACATTTCTTTATCTAGCTGTGATGATTTCAATCATAATAGTAATAATGATAGTGATAATAGGTTTTTTAAAATTATTTTAAAATAATAATAATGATAAATACAGTAATAATAATAACAACAACAACAAAAACAATAATATTAGGGTAAGGATAGGATTTATTAGGGTTACAGTTTGGGTTGGGATTGAGGTTAGAGCAGGAGTTGGGGTTTAAGCTGAGGTTGGAGTTAGTGTTAAGGTTAGGGTTAAGGTTAGAGTTAGCTTATGGTTAGCATAAGGGTCAGTTTTAGGGTTAGAGTTAAGGCTAGGATTAGGGTAAGGGTTCGAGATCTAGTCCCTCTCCCTATCTCTATCTAAACCCTATTCATAATTTGACTCTAGCCTTAAATGGATAAATGGATAAATGGATTTTTAAAAATCAACCAATCAATCAATCAATCAATCAATCAACCAAGCAATCAAAGAATAAATAAACAAAATAAGTTAATTAATTAATTATTTAATTTTAAATTAATTAATTAATTAAGTCAGAGCTCCAGATATAACAGAAACAGTTTTTAGCCCTCTATTCGCGCAAAAAAAAATTAATTAATTAGATCTAAGTAAACGACATAAAACTATAACATAGCTTACCGTTCTCACATTCAAATAAATCCTCAGCGAAATCTTCAATCAACCTAAAGCGTAGCATTTCTGGTCCATGTCTCTTTTACTCTGCTTTTACTCACCACAACGATACAGCAAAATTGGCATTTTATTTAGGCTACATGACAAACTCTTGCTTTCCGACCGAAGTCACGACTACAAGAAAATGTTACGAACTATTAATTCCTAGATCTAGTACCGTACTGTATACTGTAGTTCACGTTTCTTCAGTTATTATTCAGGGCAGTTTTGTTTTGTTTTTTCGTCTTTTGTTTTACGGAAAAGAGGGAACATTTTCCGTCTATTTGTGTCACAAAATCTGATTCTGTTTTCCACATAATTCGAAGAAACCGCCCGCCTCCGAGCACAGGGCCTCACCGAATAAATCGGAAAGTCACCGCTATAATAGGTCTCCACCTGCTTCGAAAAACAACACACCTTTGCCGCACCCACTCCTCCCACCATTCCCCACACCCTCTCCCAGAACCCCGCTCCCCTCTCCTCCTACACCTCCATTCACAAACCCGACCCCCCACCTCCCCCCATCCCCC